TTAAATAATACTTTAAGACTCATCTGCCGACGTCTTTTCCCACCAACCTGAAACTCCCCCATCTCCTATTTGTAGGCGTGTGAGAATTGTGATGCACCAGCCCACAAAGCACACACTTTACGATCAATTTCCGTTACACAACAAGCATAAAACATGTTATAAAAGACATAAAAATGCCAAACCACGGAAATATGTGCATTCAAATATCCAGACAACTCTAAATATGCACATTAAAAACCATAAATATTAAAACATAAAAACTTCCCAGAAGAATTACGGCCGGCAACAAAATCAATATAAAATATTTACAATGTTCTATCTATATGCGTACTCGTACATACATATGAGCTTCTAGGGTAGAACACTTTCTAAACAATGCACAGTCGGAGTTCTACGAAGAGTGAAAATGCCACACACACTCGTGGTATTTCGAGAAGAAGAAGGAGAAGCAGCATCAGCACCAGCCCGAAACATTCCCCACAATTAGTCACAGCGCAGCAGGAAAATCAATTTCAAATTCGAATAGAAATGAAAATGGAAATGCATTTCCATTTACGAGCAAGTAAATAAAAATCAATAAACAAACGAAAAACAAAAGTTGCGGCTTTGTCTTGTTTTCACTGTGCGTGGCATTTTCATTTTGAATTTCGTTATTTATAGGCTCCCAACTCTATAGAATTGTGTGATAGTGATTTGAATGCTCGACGGTCTGAAAGCTTTGGCGGCTCACATCTGGACTGCCAGACGCTGCGTGTGGCAGGTGTCAGAGATGGTGACAGTTCTTCGAACAACTCTGCTCTGCGCATGCGCTCTTATCTTAATGAGCCTGGGTCCGTTCTTCGATTATTCGCGCCTTTAATATTGGGTTTCGATCTAATACGAGATTTCCCTTTTGGTAATGCACTTTGTGTGTCAACGATTGTTTGTTGTAGGTGTTAAAAGTTTGATGGCAACCCTTTCCGCCACACAACGCTGTTCATTTACTTTTGTATTCAAAAGTCCGGAAAAAACGTTGATTGCTTAATTAGTGAAAAGTTTGGTTCATAACTGAAAACAATTAGAAATGTCAACAGCTGTACTTTTGTCGCTCATTTTGTTACTCATTATGCGTAATTACAACTAAATGCAACATACAGCAACGACCCAGGGCTGATATTATGAACTGATGTTTGTCACTTCATAAAAGTGTTAATTAGTCAGCCCGCAAAATTCGTCAACACATTCTGTCCCATTCCGTTCATGACAAAATCAAATGCCATAATTATATAATAGCATTTGTTTGAGCGTTAATTAAAGCTCTGCCAGGCACACCCATGTAGTGTAATACTCGAATGTACACATGTTTTAGGATACAACGACATATGTAATCATTAGGCTGCGCCTTCGTGGGGCAAAACTTCAATATTTACATTATTTCCTGCATTCTGATTATTGTCGATAACTATTTTATGCATCATTTTTCATCCACTTCCATCTTAATTGACAGAATCCATTATGTTCATGGCAATTCTGTTGGATAGGGCGAGAAGCAATTGAAAACTAACCTGAAAGTAAAAAAATATATAAATGTTTATTAAATTTATTGTAATGATTGTTAAAGCACCTTGCGGTAAAGTTTAGTAAAATTAATGAAAAGTAAAATAAAATAATAATAATCAATCTCGAGACTTTACCAGAAAAATTTTTACGAACATTTGCATTAGAAGATGATATTTATGGCTATACAATCCATTACAATAGAACCCCCATGCCTTAACATGAGGACGCATAAGCCCTGACCGGATGCAATTGTCAAAATTGAGCGAAAACTCCCACGACTTGCTAGCCCTCCAGATACGTATATTGATTCATCTCGCCATACAAATGAAGAATATATATATGTATACATGTATTTTTAACCTTTGGGCCTAAGGTATAAATAGAGATGGATTTCTACGAACGAATGTGTACCTTAGATTAATCCAGATATTTTCGCTTGTGTTTAAAAGAATTTTCAACCAACAACCCTGCAAAATATTTAAACTGTTAAAACACACTAGCAATCAGTAAAATTTTTGTCCGCAATTACTGTAAAGCAAAAACAAATGCTCTTTAACTACATCTTAGGGGGAAAATTGGACTCCTCAGTCAAGTTTAACTGGAGTTGGAACTTCAAAGCCACCAGTCAAGCAATTAACAAAACCAAAAGTATAAATCATCCTAGCAAAATATATAAGCACACCCACTTAATCACATGGTTCAACAATGTACGTATGTATGTATGTCTATGGTTGTGTATCAAGTCAAAAATTATAGCTTAGCTGCCTTCCACACTTATAGTCACTCGCACAGCCACGCCCACTCCACTCCTTGAGAACACTTGTCATTGAAAACATTTGTAAAAATTCCCATGAGCAGCGCAAAAATGAAATTGGCAGGCAAATGGTCAACAACAAATGCAAAGAGGAGAGCCCCCACATCAACATCATCATATTATCTAGACACACACACACTCACACACTCAAATAAAAACACACGCAGTCGCATGAACAAATAGAAACCCATTAACAAAGTCCAACAACTATAAAAGAAGTGGAGAGGAGAGAAGAGAAGAGGAGAGGAGAGAGGGTATTGATGTATGCGCTTGCAGTGATTAACGGCACACAATGCACGCTCTCCGGCGCGACTGTGGAGGGTGCAAGAAAGTAGCGGCAAGCAATTAACAACTACAACGGCAAACAATGCGTGGAAGGAGTGAACACTGTGTTTGTATGTGTGTAGATATGTGCGGGCGCAGCAGCCCTAGAACGGATAAGACGTCGCGTCGCGTCGAGTCGCTGCTGCCATTAGATAAGAAAGAGGGCCACCGCTTCAGACCCAGCAGCCGACTAGACTAGACAGGCGCGATCCCAAAATAGCGCAAATCTCTCTCGCACTTTGCTCCGCAAGCAGTGCAGTTTATTTTTTTCGTGTGAACTATTTTAATATTTGCTTACAAAACAAACAACAACAAATCAAAGACTGTAACACTTGATGCCGGGAGCTGGCAGGGAGCTGCGGGCGTTGTGCAAGAGGGGCGACTCACAGAAGGGCGCTTTGACAAATGCTCATCAGCGCAAAATATGTGGGCAACATGTTGCCAACTGAAAAGGCACTGGTGTGGTGGCCCTCAAAGGGTTAAAAATGTCAACGACTCGGTTTAACACACATGCGGTCTGGATTCGTCGCGATATTCAAATAAATAATGGCACTCGTCTCTAATTTTGCAACTTCCTGATAAGACAACGACTCACAGCGAGTGATTAGAATAGTATTGAATTGGTGCACATGTACTTAATGCTGGTTAGCTAAAGGTAAGGAGATGTTCCTGCTTAAATTACTAGGGGATTGATTAGACGAGATTATATGGTTGAGTTATTATAATTTGAACACAGACCATGAAAAGGTGAGTAAAGTGCAAAATTTGAAGAATAGCGCTCAAGATATAGAGGCCGGAAATTTCTTGTGGGTCTAGAAGGAACTACGAAGCTAATACGATATATAAGGTTGCATGAAGTGATTTCTCTCCCATGAGAGGTTCTACGATCTTGCAAGGTAGGCCTCGCAACCAAATCGTTCTGTACGAATCGTCAAATTCGTTCGACCATCATTTTACGAAGCCCGGAATACCTCTAGCTTTACCAACCAAATTTACAATATGGGTATTAAAATAAATCAAATGAAATACAAAGAGCAGAAATAAGTAATAGTGATGCGTTCCAAAACGCAGTCATCTAATAAATGAGAGGAAATGTGGAGTTTTCTTCTGTAAAATTACACAACTATGCATTTGGCAACATTAAGGTATAACATGTTAGAAGCCCCTTACCCAAGTATCTCACATTCGCCACACTTTCCTAATCCTCTAAAGTCCCTACACATATGCCCGAAGTTCGTTTTAAATGTGTCACTAATCACCAGATTCTCATATGCACTTCCTAAGTGTACTTACAAGTATAAGTATTTGCCTATGTTCATGCCAGTGAGTGCGTAAATAATATTTCAGGGCTGTATTCGCGGAATGTCGGGGCTTTAGCTGTCTCATGCTCATAAACATTAAATCAACAAAATGCTGGCATCACGCTCCTCTTGTCACACTTGGCATGGTAACAACAAGAGCGGCTTTGAGTTGCATTTAGGAATGCTTAATGAGTGACAGCCAGAGCAGAAATCTGTGACTGCGGTAGGTTAGTTAAGACAGGCTAGTGCCGTAGTGCCTCCGAACTTAAATGTCCCATCACCGCCACCTCCCCAGTCCCGCCTGTTCACTCCAAAATGCGACACTTTGCATTTTGTCAGCTGTCAAAGGCAAAAGAGAAGCAAAGTTGTTTTTTGCATTTTAGAGCGTTGGCGCTAGATGTGGGTGTTGGTCTCTGGCTGTTGTTGTTGCAGCTGCTGCCTCGGGGTAAAGTGTCCATTATGTTGATTTGAAATACCAAAGCTACAAATGTGCTGCCCCACACAGCCAGGAGAATAAAAGGGAGAGAGAGAACTTTACTTGATTGAAAGGCAGTTACGGACTGTTTTTTATTAGCGATCAGAGCTACATGAGCAAACAATAAGCTACTTGTAATCCAAACTGAATTCTCAATTTCTTTAATTATCGACAACATCTTTCATTTTCGAAATCCCTGATCCCATCTCCGACTAATTTGGGGCCGCTTGGCTTCACGAACTGCCGATTCTCAGCCGGAAGACCGCAATAATCATTTTGCTGATTCAATTATCTAGTTTTCGTTCAGCAAACTTATTGACTAATGTCTCCCAATTATTTTCTGTAACACTCGTTGTTCTTGGAAATTTGTAACCAAATAATAATTTTGAAAGATGTACCCCAGTTCTAAATTACTTCCGAAGCATGCCCCTTCTAGTAAATTGATTATGCTTGAGGAAGATAAGTTCATTTGATTCAAAAGTGGATTCATTTGGATGAAATGGAACTGTTTTCTTCGACTTTCCAATCAATGAACAAAAAATATGTTAAAAGAAAGGTATTATAATTCCAAATTGTGTGTGGCTATATAAGCGTGGCGGAGGCACTATGAGTACCCGAGCACAATCCAGCACTCGGAAGCCCAAAAGCCCGCGGCGATTGTTGGGAACACCGGCACCAACACCCGGCCGCGCAAGTATTGTCAGTCATGGATTCTCCTTAATCGAAAGTGGAAATTTCGACATAATGCCCAAGCTGAACGATATCATTAACCGGCTTTCCTCGCCCCAGGACCCCAAATCAGGCGTTAAACTGTCCGAGTTGGAGATCGCCGCCATCTGTACCAAGGCCCGGCAGGTGATGCTGGAGCAACCGCCACTGCTCGAACTGGAGGCGCCCATCAACATACTTGGCGACTTGCATGGCCAGTATATGAACCTCCTAAAGTACTTTGAGTCGACTGGCTTTCCACCAAATACCAAATATCTACTCCTGGGCGACTACGTAGACCGGGGCAAGCAATCCATCGAGACTATAACTCTGCTGCTGGCCTACAAAATACGCTACCCAGATCATATTTATTTATTGCGTGGAAACCATGAAAGCGCCGGTCTAAACCGAGTCTATGGTTTCTACGATGAGTGTAAGCGTCGCTATACGGTTAGGATGTGGCGCACCTTTATCGACTGCTACAGTTGCATGCCACTGGCAGCCATTATAGATAGCAGCATCTTCTGCTGCCACGGCGGACTAAGTCCTAATCTTTTCTCCATGGATCAACTACGGATGGTGAACCGACCTTGCGATATACCCGAGTTCGGCCTGCTCTGCGATATTTTGTGGTCCGACCCAGATTCCAGGGTCTTGGGCTGGGGCACGAACGATCGTGGAGTTAGCTACACCTTTGGCTCAGACATTGTGGGCACGTTCCTCAGCCGGCACGGCTTTACGCTCGTCTGTCGCGGTCATCAGGTTGTGGAAGACGGATATGAGTTCTTTGCCAAACGCCAGTTGATTACGATTTTTTCCGCGCCAAACTATTGTGGCCAGTTTGACAATGCCGGCGCTATGATGTGTGTGGACCAGAATCTTCTCTGCACATTCCGTATTCAGAAGCCGTTGCAATCGAAGCGGCCAAGTTTGGCAGACGACCATTCAGTTTCCGTAGTCTCTGTGCCAGTAGCAGTCCCATCGATGAAATAATTTTTAAAATTGTCATTCTATGTCAGGGGGGATCCAATAATATCTTCCACCCTGCACACTATATCCGATGAATATATTAAAGAACATTCAATTTTGGCTCTCAAATATTTCTGAATAGCGGCGGACAAAACTCAACTTGTCTACATCTTTTGGAATGAACATTTGCTTGATTGTAGAAATAATAACAAACAATACAAGCAAATAGATGAAACATAATCAGCAGGTTGTCTAAAATGTATGTAGAGTCAGAAGAGGCAAATATTTTTCAATTTTAAACTTGTAGATATGATACTTTCCATTATTAAATACTTGTAGATAGTTTTATGCTGTGCAACATAAATTAATTTAATAATTCATTTTGTCAATAGTAATACAGAATTTATGAAAAAAATACAAGATTCTGTCTAGCCATTAAAATATGCATGTTTAAATGGCGAGTAATATATATTAATTTGTTAAATTATTCCCATTAATTCCAACGTGTGCAGTCATAAAAGATATTAAATTATTAAATACTGCGAAAAAAAGTGCCTGGGAGTAGACAGTTTTATATATTCTTGGTTAATTGACGTGCGTTCTGGGCAGCTGCAAAAAATACATTAAAGTGAAATGCAGCTAAAATAATTACTAAAATGCATTACATTAACACGCACACGATCACGCCCTTACACACACGCACCCACACACACACATATACATATGTATATAAAACAATGTAAATAAATGAAAATTGGAGTGCTTGAAAAATGAAACGCAATTTGCAAATGGGAATTAATTAATGGCAGCCCATTTGTGCGAACGGGCGACACGAACTGGCGATTATGCTAATTTAATATAAAAGTGGCAACTGAACCTAAACGAACGCTGCCTTAAAATTTAGGTGAGGCTGGTCAGTTGGGAGGTGAAAATGAAGTTGTTAAGGCAGCTTTTCCTCAACACCCCGGCCCCGGGCAGAGTCTGACAAACTAACTGCAGTAAACATGACAACATGGGGCACGACATGCAGTGTCAACCTTCAGTTGCTGCAGCTCTGATGGACAACAACACTGCGTCATACATCATGCATAGTATCAGTGTCTCCACAATAGAGAAAATAAACATATGTGGCCAGGACCGAGTACCGTAGCTATGGAACATATTACCGTAGAATAAGGAACAACAACGACAAACAACGGACAGGCAACAACCAACAACAAGAAACATTAACCTAAAAGTCAAAGCGCATAAATTTTGTGCATGTTGAAGGAAACGCCGAACCAAAAGAAAACTCGGAGACAGGATGCATGGAAAGGCAGACATACACGTACAATCGTGTGCATGTGTGAGTGGAGGCAGGACAGACAAACATAATCCCAAATATCCACAAAACTAATCTGTAGCTAACAGACAAAAAGTGCGGATTGAAAGGCAAAGGCGAAGGCGAAAGCAACGGCGTGTGTCCTGGGGTTGGGGATTCGTTCGGACAGGCGAACACAAGGATTTACATATTAAGCCATTTTTAATTTACGACTTCCCCAAAAGGCAGTCAGAAAGACACAGACACAACACACACACACACGCACATTTACACCCACATACATACGCCTGACTAAACAGCAGATAACAAACGACAGTGCACAGAGCAAAGATAAAGGCGCAAGTCGTGGAAAAGGATAACGCAAGAAGAAAAGCACGGAAATCTTTACGCAAAAGCCACATAACGGCATCAGCTCAGCAAAAGCAGCAGCAGCAGCAGCAGCAGAAGCAGTAACAACAACAACCCCTACAACTTGGCCGAAAAGCTGGGGTGATGGCGAGGTTGATGGCGGCTGTCCAAATTCTAAAGGTTTGAACAGAGGCAACACAACAATGACAGTAATAAAATAAAAGTAAATCCATGCTTCGGCTTTTCCTACACTTTTCCTACAGTCCTGCAGTCCTACAGTCCAGGGCCGCAGGGCAGAGCAGCTCGATATGGCGACGACAAGTTGGCGGCTGTCAAAGTTGACAGCAACATGTCTCGGAAGTGAAAACCGTAGCGGTTTTTCGTGTTGAGCGACACACGCTGCGGGATTTCCTAGAAGACGAGTGAAAACTTGTAGCTTAAGGTAGAGAGAATGCGAAATGTTTAAGAACTGCTAGGAGCCTCTACACCATTTATTGTCGCACAGCTGGCATTAGGGTCCTAATGGGGACCATTACATTACAATACCTTACTTTACAGAGCTAAACAAGAATGTAATGCTAGTGTCGAGCGAACTCAACTCTTTAGGACCCACTACTACAAAGTATTACTTTACAAAATATTTGACATTTGTATAATACAAATTTGTTGACTGACCTTTTAAATTAAAACTAAAATATATATTTTAGATGTATGTACTTACTAACGTTATGGCAAGAGGGTGGTGTGTCAGCAAAAAATCACAAATCTGCATACTTACAGATGAAGGGAATATTAATAAGTACACCTTTGAATATAAACCATTTTAAATTTTGTTACACGATTTTATTCTATTTTACATACTTAATTGTTAGTTTAGTTCCTAAACTAGAGCTGGAGGATCATCGATTTATCAATGCATCGAAGTTCTTCTACTTCATTTTGATTTGTCTTATTTATAAAGCTAAAGTTGCTTATTAAATTCAAAAGGTTCCAAACAAAAGATATTTTCACAAATTCAAAGAATATAACAAAAACAAAAGAAAGAATAACATACAACAATTAAAATTCAATGGTGGACAAAGAACATCGATCATCGCGAATAATACATCGATGTTTATAAAAGATATCTATCGTCCAGCACTATGTCATACATTTAATTTATATTACATACAGGGTGCACCATCTTTTATGTCGGTATGTAGATATTGAATAACTTTGTCATTAGTGAGCCGATTGATTTGAGTAGACCAGTGTTGAAAACCTCAGTTAAAGAAATTGTACAGAACCAAATTAAATAAAAATATCTCATACTTGAAAATCGGTTGTTTATTTTCAAGGATATTCAATGTTTGCATACCGACATAAAAGATGGCGCACCCTGTAGGCTTTAGAGATATCAAGCAAAAACAGAATTAGGTGTACTTAGATTGGTTATTATAGCTCTTATACTTTCCGTGATTTTTGCGTTCATACAAACGGACGGACATGGCATTATCGACTCATCTCGTTATCCCATTAAGAATTCATACACATTTTGTACAGTCTTTTACGACTTCTTCGGTGAGTTACATGCATTCGCACTAAACTAGTATTACCTTTACTCGATAGATCCATGAATACGTAAATTATAGAAATATTGAATTACCTTTCGGGAATAATTATTAATATTTATGTTCCTATTATAGTGATATAAATAAAAGAATGCAAATGAGTTTAACATATTTGTAATTATTCAGAATAAACAGTCCAATTTACGACATATTATATATGTGTGAACTGACCTCCAAAAACGACGCCTTTAAACCTTCCTCTTAATAAACAATATTTGTTTCAAAAGGGTATTATGGCTTCGGCCATATATTTATAGTATATATGCGTCGGCGTGTATTTGTCGGGCGACAACAGGTGCAGCAAGAACTTTAAATCGAGACTATGAACTGGCAAGTAGCAGCTATCAATCATCAGGCTTAACCGCAACCAGAAATTGTATAAGGTTTGGGGGATGCCCCAAAAGGAAACCATATGCCACCCACAACAAACCAACCCCTTCGCCCTTCGCTCTTCGCCCAACCCATGCCCGAGCTCTCTATTTTCTTTGTGGTTTTGTTTTGGCGTCAAATGTGACACTGCGGGCTTTTCTTGTTTCCATTTTTATTTTAAGGGGGTGTTGTAAGAACCGAAACCCTCCAAAACACCCAAACGGAAGGAAGTGTTAGCACACTGATGATGATGTTGCTTTTGATTTTGCTGTTGTTGCTGTTGTTCTGTTCTGTTCTGTTCTGTTCTGTTTGGTTCGCTGGGAGTTTTGTTGTACGCTTTTTAAAGTTTATTTTTTTTGCTTGGGGGCAGGATGCTCACTCAAACAAAAAGCGCTTGGTTTGTCATGTGGATGGGAGACTCATGTGCGGGGGTTGGGTGCGTACGAGTATTATTTGAAGTTCTGTAAGCTGTACCTACTCCATCGCCTAATATCATGGTGTGAAAGGACTTACAGTTGATCTGGCAGTGTTTAAACATAAAGGACTGCGGCGCTGAGTAAGGTTTTCTATTTAAGGAAATGGTTCTGGCAGATGCAATCGACGAGCTGTTTTCCTTAAGCTGCCTCTTTATGTACCTGTGAGGAACTAAGTGCAGAACAGAGTTATGGTATTAATTAAAAGATTACAAAATACAACTTTTTCGTTTGAACCAGCAAAAAGCAGCAAGCAATTTCGCAACATTTTTCGATGACCCTTTTCAAAATGACCAAATAGCCACCGCTTAATTAATCCCACGCTAAATAAACCACAAGCGAGCAAGCGTCATGGCCCTCCCTCCCTTCACTCTCTTAACCCCTAAAAAATGCTCGCAAGTAACAACTCTATTAAAAATATGCCCAATTTTTTACCCGCCGATGATTTATACTTTTTTTTTTGCTTTGTTTTTTTTGGTTTGGAAAGGACAAAAACACAACTCATGCCGGGTGAGGGCAAAAAAAAAACGAATTATAATGTTAGGAGCGTTTGTCAGGGTGGCGCTCACCTTTCTGGTAAGTTCTTTGTAAAATTACAAAAAACGTTTAAAAAATTTGACAGGATAAGCGGGCATATTGTGCTCGCCAAGAAAAATGATGAGCCGACTCTGGAACGGTTCGCATAACGATGGGTAACTGGGGCTTATCGGGCTGTCCACGTCAATCGATTGGTACAGACTTCGTTTTAGGGGCAGACGAAACAAAATTCATTTACTCTGACTATAAGTTACATACACTGTCTATCTATATAAAGCTAATTAAAGTCGATTTTATTGTCCGTTGATTCCAAAATCCTTTTTTAATATTAATATATAAAAAAAAGCTAATTTTCTTAATTATACGAAGAAAATGCATTGACGTTTCAGTTTCGTACGAAAAAAATCCTGTACTCAATTTAATATTTTTCTATAATCACTTGAATAGAAAATATATC